AAAATTGCCACGAGACTTCTCAATAATCACAAAATTGTCACCGTGCAACTTTAGACCATTAGATCATTAACTTACAAAGTTGATCAATGAATATAAATTGGTCTTACGGGTCTTACGAAGAACCTTTGGTCTCACGTGAACTCAACCGTACTTGTATGTATATATATATATATATATATATATGGGCAGGTTCAAACGAGAAGACGGTTAATTTGCGAGAAGGCAAGAATGAATATGAGCTACACAATCCATTAATTAGAAAGTATCATAAAAAGATAATGTTAAAAATTAGGATAATTATCATCTTGAATTGAATAAACGCTTAAAAATCTCATTATATCTTTTAGATTTATTTATTTTTATTTTTAATTAATTAATAACTTTTTTTATCAAGTTTTATTAGATATCACATGCGATATCTACGATCAATTCATATGTGATAATTGTAGTTCTTTTTTTAAACATATGTGATAATCGTAGATATTTTTATTAATCATATGTGATTATGTATATTTACATTTATAAATCTTTTTGTGATGTAAATATTATCACATGTTACATCAGTTATATTCAGACACATATTATCATATGTGATATGTACAAAAATTAGCAAAGTGGATCATATAGACCATATGTGATGTGTAATAGATCATATGTTAAACGAAGTTTATCACATTCGATTCAAAACATGGATCCAAAAATTAGCGAAAAAATGGTGAAAAAGATTATGAATTAGTTGTAGATATCACATGTGATATTTGATGAAAATTTTGATTTTTTTTATTAAAATATATCTAGAAAAAAGTTATATAAAACTTTATAAAATAATTACGAATTTATTAAATTAAATTTTTTTTAGATATAATCAAATTTTTAAAGATTTATCCATTTCAAAATGATAATTATTATAATTTTTATCACATCGTCTCACAGTACATTATAAATACAAATCATGAATTACATAGTAAAAACTGTTATCACACATGTATGTATTGGGTGATTTCTATTATGCATCATATGTATCACATCGTCTCACAGTAGTATGATACATCATAAATACAAATCATGAATTAAATAGTAAAAACTGTTATGACACATGTATGTACTGGGTGTTTTCTATTATGTATCATATGGTTCCACATTGAATCACAACTATTTAAAATTGTTAAACCAACTTAACCAGTTATATTTTCTAACATTATAACTTGTACTCAACACGGTACATAAATATATATAATTCCATTAAAAAGCGATAACAACTACGAATTCAATTCGATCGATAACATAAAAAAAACTGAAAAGTGTATTTATATAACAAGAAATGGCTCGGAAACATCAAAAACACAATAGTCCGACTTTGTCTTAGTTGGACAGTTACGGATACCATGATTAGACATCAACTTGCATCCACTACACATCCTCTTATGCCTGCTACTCTTCACTGCTGCTTTCTCAGATGCACCGATCAATCTTTTGGACGTACCACAACCTTTGTTCCTTATACCGGTAGCAGGATGTATTTCAATGTTATTAGGTCTTGTAAAACTAAGAATTTGTTCTATTCCACACACTTTACGTTTCATCGAAGGTTAGTATGTGCGATCTTTGGCTACATCATCTCTCATTTCTTTGAGTTTTGCCACAAATGATTCTAGTTTTTCTTTGTCATCTCTTAATATATACAACACATCATCGATGATTTCATATGTATCGTTTTATTCTGCGTTGATCCTCGCCTACGTCGCATATTATTTGACGGCTGTTTTGAAGTTCAATAGGTATAAGGTCACGTCTCCATCTTATCAAAATGTATTCTTCAGGTATAGATTCAACACCGACGTTTAGCAAAACTTTGAACACATGTCTGCATAAATAACCATGACGACCGATGTGATTGCAACTACAAACAATGGTAGACTCCTTCAACTTACGAACAACCTGTACATAATATAAACTTCAAACATCAAATATCACAATCGAAATGTTGTTCAAACAAAAACAATAATATATAAAACCAATAATAAATGACTTTCTATACGATCATACCTTATACTCTGCTATTTTCACATCTCTTTTGTCTAAATTTTCAGTTAAATATGTTTCAGCTTCCTCATTTGAATTGATACTCTTAATTGAACATGTCCAGGCAGCCCTGTGTATCTCGGTTTGCCCCTCAAAAAATACAGAACACATGTAAATCTCACAAGCATGCCTCTCCAGCTTGCTATAGGTAAACCATTTAGGTAAGGTAGTTCTCGTGTGATAATCAAGACGACGTTGCTCCCGACGTTGTTTCTCCAAGGCAAATTCAAACCCCAACATAAACTGAAAAAGATTACTTCCACTTTTTGAAAAAGAGTTAAAGAATGAGTTCGCACTTTCCGACCTGGATGTTTCTTCATGAGGCAACACATTGTAAGCTCTCTAAAATACGCGGGTATCCATTGGGATCTTAGAGCAAAGATATCTTTCAACCATGCATGATCTTGAAGGGAGAACTCCTCGATAAGAACCATCCATCTACTCTCAAACYCATCAGGTGATATGTGAATGTTCCATACGAGCTTGAAAAATTGTTTCTTAAACGTGGTGTTATTAAGAAGATCGTAACTAAACTGCAAGTAAATTAATTATGTAAGAATATAAAGAGTAAACAAAATAATAGGTTGTTCGGTTTCTTTATAACCTTGTTGGGAACTTTATTCATGATGTGCCAAATACAAAGCCTGTGCCTTGAATCCGGAAAGACTGATGCAATTGCTTGCTTCATTACAGAACATTGGTCGGTAAGAATCATCATAGGGGGTTTCGAATGTGCTTTCCGAAATGCTTGGAGTAGCCACTTGTAATTTGGAACATGCTCATGTCTAACCAAAGCCGATCCAACAATGACGTTGCAATTATGATTGTCAACCGCAGTGAAGGGCACAAAAACCATGGAATGTCTGAAACAATAAACATATCAGTAACTATAGTTTATAAATAAGGCCATCTTCATTTAAAGCAAAATATACGAACCTGTTGGTTCGGAATGTAGCATCAAAAGATATTACATCTCCAAATTCAGAATAATTGAATCGAGCTACTTCATCAACTCAGAAGATAGTATGCAACTCGCTAGCAACACAATTGTACTCGAAAAGGAAATTATGATCTGCATCCCTCTTCTTGGTCATCAAATCAACCAAGACCTTTGCATCACCACGACCGACAAAATTGTCACAGTCCCTCTTATATTTTTGATAATCGACAACCGTTGGACCACCGTATTCGTACCCTCCTCTTAGAGATATATGCAACTTATGAGTCCGTGTGGCACCCATATTTGAGATTCCGGCATCATGAACAAATCGTTGATCTGAAAATTTCATTTGGCGTCCTTTTCTGGTCAAATCCATATCATCGTTTCTCAAAAGTGAATGGTTGTGATCCTCTTCAGAACCGTAAAACTCATATGTTGTTGTTCCTTTCATCAATCGGAACTTCACACATGTTGTACACCCGATCCTTTTAATATTGGAGTTCCGCACTTCTCTTTGATGTTTACGGCATACTATCGAATCAAATGACTTTTTCAATGGCAAACCAAACCTACTACATACAAAGTATTTATTCTGTATCACACCATCAKAATTAATCTTTTGGCTTGATCGTCGTACCTCAAATCCAGCCGTCTCAGCATATTTTTGGTATACCGATTCTGCTACATCCAATGACGGATACACAGATCCGATAATGGGCTTGACAACTTCTTCGACTACAGAAGTATACCAATTAGTACCACCTAGTGATATTGATAAGCCTTGTTCTGCTTAATCAATAGCTGTAAACATGAATTCAAACATATTCATGGTGATTTATTAATGTACCACAAGTGTGCACATCAACATACTGCATTCATTTACAACAATACAACAAACATCATCATAACATTGATATATACATAGGCATTGCATATTCTTATACAACAAAATCCATCTAAAATTTATACACATATAATTGCATATATTAAAGATTTTCGTAATCAAAACAAGAAGATAAAACTAATACAGATAGACAGTAAGAAGTATTCTGATAACATGAATTCAAACATATACACGGACCATTTATTAATGTACCACAAGTTTGCACATCAACATCTGTCTTCATATACACAGTACCACAACCATGATTAAAGCATTGATACATACAGAGGCATTACAGGTTCTAATACAACAAAATACATCTAAAATTAATAAACATACAATTGCAAATATTAAAGAATTCAAGAATCACAACAAGAAGATAGAGCTAATACATACATAAGTAAAGTGAACGATGTGATGATAATTAGTTTGGATAACACACTGTGATACAAATAAGGTTGAGCACATTATATTATAGAATTAACGTAGGTTTTCAACAGATGGATGAAACAAAAACCTAGATTTTCATCATTCTGAATCTCATTGTTTGATATGTATCCTGTTGTATCATCCATTCCAAGAGTTTCAATATCTTCTACCAAAACAATTTCTTCATAGTTTTTTTGGACCTTTTTAAATGGAGAAAGTCCCACATCAAAATCTTCATTACTCTCCCAGGTCACAACCTCCATAACACCTACATTTTCTTCATGAGAATTGAAATCTACACTATCTTCATGAGAATTGACATGAATTGAAGAATCAATAGGATTTTTACCGTTGTTCTTCATTACATGATCAACCTCCAGGATGAAATTTTTGCAGAAAACACTTATTGATTTCACATTCTTAAATATTGTGGAGAAAATCTTCAACAAATATGTGTGATTCCATGTGATTATTCAGAATCATGATCTTGTTTACACACGGATTATTTTTTTTGAATTTATTTCACTGAATCATATTAATCTTTAATTTAGGAATGTAAATCAATATTAATTATTCTTTTGAAACGGTTCCATTATAAAAATTAAAATCTAATCTTAATTTAGGAATTGACTAACATACCCTTTTAATATGATTTTAATTGTATAATTAATATATTAAAATGATTGGTTGAGATTGGCCCTCACAATTACCACAAACAACTCAGTTCTTGTGACAACTCTGCATTTTGAAATTTCAGGTTAGTATCCCATTTTAGAACCTTTATTGAAAACTAAGTCTTTCTAGGATTTAGCTACGATGATCTGAGATCATCTTGCTCTTCTTCCAAGATTAGTTTGTTAGGTCACGTTTCGGCGGGTAGCTAACCAAGTTGGTTCGTGCAAAGCCAAATAGTTTTGAA